ATAATGTAGAATAGTCATAAATAAACTTCCGCCGCTTCCATCGATTGTATATTTACAAATTTATATTGCATAAATAGATATAATAAATATAATGTTGATTTAACAATATTGTGGGACTTTTATAAAAATCACCATAAATGCACACAAACCTTTAATGCACTAATTCTTTTTTTGAGGAATAATCTGCAGTTATCCCAAAAATGAGCAACAAACACATAACAGTAATTTTTTTAATGTTTGCAGTTGATATCAGATTATCAGTTTTTATCTTGAACTCATTTTAGAAAAAAAACATCAAAACGACGCCTCGAGAGCATATACAACATACAAAAATCTGACAAAACTGGCATAAAACAAATACTGTATTTGCTTCAACATGGTCTTTTTTCTATCCAATATGCAGGTAATTAATCATTTAATTTATATTGTCGTGCCGCAGAAATGCATTATGTGTGAATTGCTTCAATAACCACATTTTAATGCACATCAAATTTTAAGCCACATGTAAAATCGCAAAGTCGCTCAAAATATGTTCGCGACATTAAGCTACTTTAAGTGAACAGTTTGTTGTCACATACTGGAAAATCCTATTTAATGTCATTTGGAGTAGTGTAGATAACACCAACACACACACTCTTGATCTAAACTAAATCCGGAACACAATCGACACATCAAACATACAGTTGCGCTACGGGTGTACAACATAAAATCAAGAAGCAACTCGTTTTAAAACTGTATTAAATGTATTTACTCAGATGTCTTCAATAAAGAGTAACTGTACATATGCGACTGGGTGATCACGTTGAGGGGTGGAAAAATACACCTCAAAATATTGCCGCGGAATTTCTTTTATGCGCGTGTGCAGTTATCTGCATATCCAGTATACTCATTCGTTTTTGTGTATGACCTTATTACCGATCAGTCGATCTCGAGATTTTGACAATTTTAGTCGATCGCGGTCTCAGGTAGGTTGGCCACCCCTGGTTAATATATACCATTGTGTTTTGTGTTTTTCGGGATAACATAAACATATCGTGCAAAAACCAGCAGATGTCTGACGTGATAAAACTTGTGGTTAACATACTTGCGTAAAGGATTGTCTTTTTACAAATTAGATTCCACATATAATTTGTATTTCAATTGCTGGAAGTGTTGGCTACAAGAACAAAAGAAGCCTTACCAGGTTAACAGGCGTTTCAGGGTTTGGTAATCTCAAATTATTATTGTCTGACATAGGCTTACTGAGAAGGTTGTATGACTTTATTTTATACATATCAAATATCAAAATGTACTATATCGCTGTTTTGGTATATATATTTTGCTCTGGGGAGGTATTGGCAATGAGACGTGAGTATTTCATTGCAATGGAAGAAATATTTTGGAATTACAATGGCCCTGAGAGTAGGTACGATTTGAGTTAATTAAATAATTGAGGTGAACGAGATGACTTAGGAGAGATTTTTTACCCGAATCCATCACATATTTGAGAAATGTAGCAATGTCTTTTCGTTTGATCTGTCAAAATTATTTACGAGCAAAAGTTAGTTTAGATATAACAGTATAACACCATTCTGCATATATCCAATATAGTTATTACGATATTAAAAAATGCAACGCCTAAAATTTAACTCCGAAATCTTTGATCAACCTTCAACAATCTTTTACAATACATTGATATAAATTCAAAATTTTTTTGCAGCCCAGTTTCTAGACGTCGTGGACCAGCCAGGATAGGAGGAGAATATAAGAAAGCAGTTTTTCGTCAATACACCGATTCAACCTTCAGTACTCGAAGTCCGAGACCGGAGTCATTGGGATTATTTGGTCCTATTATTAGAGCTGAGGTATGACTTGTTTTGTTGTTGAAGCAAATACAAAATTTAACTATTCTTCAGAATTTAAGTTTGAAATTAGTATTTATATCAAGGTGAAAGACACGGTCGTTGTTTATGCTTTCAACCGTGCATCCCGACCATATAGTATTCATCCACATGGCGTTTTTTACGAGAAATCCAGTGAGGGAGCGTTGTACTCGGACAACACAACATCTTCAGATAAAGTCGATGACACAATTCGACCCGGAGGAAAACATAAATATGTCTGGGAAGTTAGAGACGCGTATGTAATTGAGTCTAAAAATATAATAAGTTTCAAATATTCTCCGCGTTGACCAACTATCGATTGAGTAATTTTATCACTCAATTACTTTGTAGATATGCTCCAGGAAAGGATGATCCGAACTGTTTAACGTGGGCTTATCATTCCCATGTTCACTCGACAAGGGATCAACACGCTGGTTTAATCGGAACTCTCCTCACGTGCAAAGAAGGTATCGTATCAAAGCTTAATAAATTACGATGAAAGTGAACTTTATATGAGGATCTGGTTGATTATAGTTACCTTCGGGCGAACTTCACAGAATCTTATATGTATATATTAGTAGGGCATTATGAATCGACAATTTTTTTGAACCGGTATTGCCTTATTGTCTTGCCGGTATTGTGGTCTCAATTGGCTATTTAACAACACGATGGAAATCTGTAAATGATGTCCAAAATTTTTGTTAAACCATGCAATACAGTCCATGCAAAATATTTTGAACTCTCTTTTGTGAGATTAATCTGGAAGGCTTTGTGAACAGAAGCATTAAAAGCCGCAGTAAATCGCTAACTTTTGACATATTTGTCACGACAAAAATCGTTATTACCAGGCTTATCAAAAATTGCCTCTGATTTCAAAACAATTCTCGTGTGCCACACAAAGTCTTGATATCGATATAAGACTTCCTTGTCACAAGCGTTCAACTACCGGACAGTCTATCAATTGGTCCATTACCACCAACTCGTCCATATTGTTATAATCGAGGCATTTATAGTAATCAACCAATTACAGAATACGGGTACCACGGGTACACATAGTAAAAGTAGATAACACCAATGCAAGTCGGTTCAAACCATACGTGCCAATATTATGCAACTTTTGAACTAATAGCTTCATGGCTTTCTTATAAGGATGCGATACGATAGTTTCTAAGCAAGAATATTTATTTTTAAATTAAGGAACATTGACATCCGCGGGACATCGTACTGACGTAGATCGTGAATTTGCAATCATTGTCTTCGTCATTGACGAAAATGAAAGTTGGTACATTGACGAAAATATTAAGGCAAGGAGGCGGCTAACTAATAATTTTAAAATTATTTTTATCACATTTTACTCAAATAGGTTTAACATCTCAAAACCATTATACCGGTTCAACTGCACTGAAAAGCTGTAACACGAAATCCATTCGATATGTTTATTATTATTTTTAACCATAGAAACCAATGTTCGATTCGTATATTGTACTTAAAAATTACTGGCGTGTTTGTAGACTGTCTTGTACGCAAAGCGGCCTAAAAGTGACAATTCAAAAATCCATCAGATATATAAAACCTTAAATTTTAATTCAAAATTCAAATCAAATTTTCATTTTTTGTTTAGACCTACACTCTGCAGCCAGAAACTGTAGATAAAAAAGATCCAGATTTCATTGAAAGCAATGTATTCCACGCTATGAATGGAAAAATCTTCTTAAGGCTCTCGGTTGAAATGTGCAAGGGCGATTTGGTGAACTGGTATCTCATTGGAATGGGCTCAGAAATACATGGGATGCAATTTAATGGAAATTCAGTAATATGTTATCATGTTATTTGATTCAAGAGTCTTGCTGCACACTAACATAATTGCATTTTTGTAACGTTTGCTCTGACTGAGGTCAGGCTTCTTAAGACGAGCATATTTCAATTGTAAATATATTTGTGTTAGTTAGCAAGACTCCCGAATCAAAAGATAGAAAGATAGTTCAGTCGGACAAGTCCGAAATCAATCAAATGCCACAAAGCTAAATTTAAAGCAAAACCAAATGTTACAACTTTCCCTGCATAAACTGGATTGAATTTAAAGCATTCTTAATTTTATTTGTCATGTATATGGATTGTCAGCGAAACATATCGTTTTAAAAACCATACTGGAAAGCAATTTCCTATTATTTTATTGCTTCTCAAGTTTATACTGAAATGTTACATGTATATTCAAACTATTGAAAAAATCACCAGGCAATTACTAATGGACATCGAGGAGATACTGTGGCTTTGTTTCCGGCAACATTCATGACTACAGTTATGAGGGCTGACAATCCAGGAAAGTGGATCTTCGGATGCCTAGTGACAAACCATATTGCTGGCGGTAACTAAATTTCCTCTTTCTTTCCATCTGCCAGTTAATTTTCAGTATTTTACAGTATTTTATTTTTTTTTTTAATCATCAAAATGCTATTTGATCACTAAAATCGTCGATAAATTTCCCTTCGCTTCAAATCGAAGTTATTGCTATTTTTAAATACATGTATCAAGAAGTAATTATTTAATTTGACAGATTGTTTTGGTTTGTTCTAGGAATGGGAATGTTTTACACAGTAAATGATACTTGTAAACCAACGCTGGGGGGAGAATTTGGAAAAGGTTTAGAAAGTGTTGGCGACACCATACGGACATATTGTGTTACAGCAGAAGAAGTGGAATGGAATTATGCACCAACTGGAATGAACATGCTGACACAAAAACCGATTGCTGAAAAGGGCCAGTAAGATACAATTATTATTTGCTCTTGCAATATGTATAAGCGGGTTCGTGTGACTATGGACGGGCCTAAAATCAACGAAAACTTAATTTATTCAACACAAATAAAAAAGAAAAATACTTATGGTTAATCATATTTCGTTTTTAGAGTATAAGAACTTTAAGCAATATGTTCTGAGTCACAATAACTACTCTTAAATAGTGCTTTACTGACTTTCTATTATTTATAATCTACATTGATGTACACAACTGAATTTATTTAGGGAAAGTCATGAATATTTTAAGAAAGGTCCAGATAGAATAGGAGGAATTTACATCAAGGCGGTTTATAAAGAATACACTGATGATACATTTCAAGTAGAGGTGGAACGTGATCCTGTAATGGGAATCCTTGGTCCTGTTATTTTTGCCGAAGTTGGAGAAACAATACATGTTGTATTCAAGAACAAGGCTAATCGGGTGAGGATTCGGACCAGTGCTGGCACACAGTAATTTTTCATAGCTAAATTTGCAATTGTGTATCAGTGTTGAATGAAATGATTCTAGTTAGTCAGACGACTCAGTCCTCAATATCGACACGTTTAAACTTTTTGCTTAATTTCCCATTTCAAGTATCATCTTACCCTCTGTATAAATGTTTGAAGGTATGAGAACTATTTTCAATGATTTATGTAAACTAGTCATAACGTGGCCCCCACATAGTGATGAACTTACAAATTACTAATAATATTTTTTTCCCTGTTAGTTTTGATCCAATTTGCTGAATAACATAGTGTGTGGTTTACGGTGTTAATATTTTGAAAGGCACATATAGGGTGCCAAATTCTTGCGTGCTCATGGCCTCTGAAGAGTATGATCCGTCCGTGATTCAGATACACAGATTCCAAAGTAAATCTTTGTTGTTTATCCTTCAGTATACAGACGTACGTACCAAGCTAGTAAGAATTTTTGGCCTCAAGCAATGTTACGAAATATTGTATCACGCTCAAAAATAGGTTTAAAATTGTGATGTTATTACACGCCAGTAATGACAAGCCAGAAAGTAGTTATATCCTAATTGTTATTGGAAACGAAATGAACCTATGGATCGTTTTGTTATTAGCTGGTGTTCTAAAAAAATCACTTTTAACGCCAACTGCCGGATCAATTGATTAGGAATTTTTACTGGTTAAAATTTACTGGTTTTTGAGAAAAGGCTATTACTTTCATTTATTTTGAAAAATATCTGTGGTCTCTATGGGATTCTTTTTCACCCCGAAGTTTTGTGCGACTAAGTCATCAAAATTATACATTGCGTGCCGTGGTTCCGTGATTACATCCTAGTGATCTCGTAATCAGACTACTGTTGCTGTAAAATATTTCATACTCTTTCGTTTTGGCTTCCGTGTCCATATATTTGAGTATTGTTCTTTTCATCTATATATTTTACACAGACCTATGAGATGGTTCCTCATGGAGTCTTTTCATTTGGAGCACAAGAAGTGAAACCGGGAGAGACTTACACCTATGTGTGGTAAGCGAACAAAATACATATAACTTAAATTATTAAACAACTATTAGTTGAAGCAGGTAACTCACTTTGCCATTACTTACGTAAACAACTTCAGCAAAATCGCAATAGATTTATCTAGAAGCACAATACCATGCTACGGTGACATGGTCTGCCCTATCAATATGAGATCACTATAAAACATTTAAGAGTAAACTGCAAAAATTGATTACCTAAATATTGTGATCCAAAACAAGATTTTATCTTCGTAAAGCATATGTTGCTGTGATGAATTTAATAATAACTGCAGGCCTGTACCAGACAGAGTTTCTCCGCTCGAAAAAGATGACAACTGTATTACACATATGTATTCGTCATTTGCCAGTCTCGATGTTGACCAACATACCGGACTGGTTGGCCCTATCGTAATTTGCAAACGAGGTAAAAAATGTCAATTATTATCACGCTTTATATTATCGTTTGCGAGAACGAAATAATTTTAAACATATTAAATATTTCATAACAAAATACTTGAACTGACTGTATATATATTGATTTTGGTGTTGGATTATAATGTACTAAAGATTTTACTGATTTTTCTAATTTAAACAATTTTATTGAAGTAATTTATCATTGAAACAGTTGAATTAAATTCAATCCTAAGTGATTCAAGAGTCTTGCTGCACACTAACACAAATATATTTCTGTAACGTTTCGTCTGACCAAGGTCAGACTTCTTCAGACATACATAATTTAACTACAACACGAAAAGCAGTTACATGCATATTTAAACAATCATAGTAGAATTATAGGAGTCACGCATGTTAAATAATCAATAAAATCTGTGAATTTCTTGATTAAATAACAGCGGGTGGCCGAAATAAGTGTCATTGATGAGATCTCTCTCTTTGTTTTATATTTAGCAATTGAAGTCCAAATTACACAATGGTGTTTTATTTCTCAGTATTGTATAATGCAGACCAGAAAAGTTGTCTGTGTGTCAAATGTAATATAGTGATATTTTGTCTGTTATTAGCATATCTGGCCATGCATGATCCAATTCTGAGAAAAAAATATATTAGGTACAAGAATTGATTTAAACAATGAATGAAAATATCTAAACTTCCTTAATATTCATCCCTTGTGGCTCGTGTGTCCCGAAAAGATGAATGTAATGGGATTCCTTGTTCTTTCGATAAATGTGGTCATGAAATAGTTTTTCAATGCCAATGACACTCAAATCTTTAAGCGAATGTCCCGGTTGACTGAAATGGGCGCCAACAACCAGATCTTTGTTTTGGGTTTTTATACTTCTAATATGCTCAGTTATTCGGTATTTTAAATGTCTTCCCGTTTCTCCTATGTATTGCATGCCACACTTTTTGCAGCTTATCAGGTAGATTACATTTTCCGAGTTGCATGTTACTTTTTGACGAATCCTTATTTCTGCTGTCTTCTGTTTGTTTGTTGCAATTTTCCTTTCTTCGGAATATTGGCAGGTACTGCACGATTTTCTGCCACATTTGAAAAAGCCTGGATTCTTTTTAACGGGAGTTTCTGGTTTCAATTTTGCTCTGACTAATTTGTCCCTTAGTGTGGGGCATTTACGATAGGCTAATCTTGGTGGTTTTGGGAAAATTTCTTTTAGTCTATCGTTGTTATCTAAAATGTATTGGTAATCTGAAAATATTTTTCGAAGGTTTGGTTGGGTCGGGTGATAGTTTGTGATGAAGGGAAGCAAAGTTTCTTTTTTGGTTTCAGTTTTTGGGACTAAAAGGAGTTTTCTGTCGAGTTCTTTTGCAGATTGTATTGCATCGTCAACTAAATTTTCTTTGTAGTTTCTCTTCGTGAGGTATGTTTTCATTATTTTTGCATGTTTATCAAAGAGCTCATTTGTTGAACAGGTTCTTCTTATTCTTATGAATAGACTTTTTGGAATATTTTTAGTGACATGTTTAGGGTGGCAGGACGATGGCGAAAGATACTGGTGCGAGTCGGTTTTTTTGCTGAAGATTTCCGTTTCCAATTTGTTGTTAATGATATGAACCTTAACATCCAAAAACGTAATCCAGTTTGTTGAGCATTCGAATGTAAATTTGATTGTTGGATGTAAAGAATTTGCTAAGGTAACAAATTCTGATAGTTTCTCTTTGCCATGTGTCCATATAAGAAAACAATCATCAATAAAGCGGCAATAGTACTGTGGTTTTAAAGGGGTTTTGTCTAATAAATTGGATTCCAGGTTTGCCATAAAAATGTTTGCATACTTGGGTGCCAATTTTGTTCCCATCGCAGTTCCCTGAATTTGAAGGTAATGTTGTTCGTCAAAAACGAAGTTGTTGTTTGTCAGGACTAAGTTGGATGCTTTTGCTATCCAGGGGATTTCTTGTTTGTCTTCGCTGAATCTGTTGAGGTATTTTTCCATTGCTTCTATGCCATCGTTGTGGGGGATGTTTGTGTAGAGGGAGACTACGTCCATACTCACTAGTAAAGATTCCTGTCCTATTGTTTTGATTTTTTGTAAATGATTTAGGAAATCCATGCTGTCTCGAATATATGAGGGTATAACTCTTTTACACATGAGCGGAGTCAGTTTATAATCTACATAGGCCGAAAGTTTTTCTGTTGCTGTGCCATTCGTTGATATTATGGGACGACTAGGGTGATTTTCTTTGTGTATCTTGGGTTGGAGGCGTAGGCGACCTGGTTTGGGGTCTTTTGGAAGGATTGATTTAGCTAATTTATCGTCTATTACTCCAGCTTCCTTCATTTTTGAGCAAAGATTAATAACATCATTTCCAATTTGTCTTGACTTATCTTTCGGCAGAAGTCGGTACACCGATTTGTTATTTAATTGACGCATCCCTTCAGCGACATAGTCAGTTCGGGATAGAATGCAAATACCTCCTCCTTTATCGGCCGGAACTATAATGATATCTCGTGCTGCTCGTCCTTCGAGTTCTTTTAGTGCCATAATTTCATCTTTATTTAAATTAGGGTAAGCATGTTTTTCAGGTGTCTTTTTGCCTATTTCCCGTTTGATAGTATTGGCGAAATGATCCAGATCCGAGTTTCGGCCCGATGGAGGTGTCCATTTGCTAGCTATTCTTAATGACTTCGGGTACGAATTGTTGGGCTCTGTAACATTATCATCGAATGTTGTATTGGCAAAAAATTCTCTTAATCTGTAATTCCTGATAGTTCTGTCGAAATCCGCCTGTAGCTGGAATTTATCAAATCTTTCTGGAGTGGGACTGAAGCCAAGTCCTTTCTCAAGGACGCTAATTTGTGATTCGGTTAGGGGAATATTTGACAGGTTGTGAATTTTGGATGGCGTGGAGGTCATTTCTTCTTTTTGTCTCCTCTTCTTTTTGCTGAATCTTCTATTTTTTCTTTTTGATTTGGACATATTCCTACATTCTCGGTCTGAATTTTTGAAATTGTTTCCTTCTTGAGCTGACTTTTGCTTTTTCGTTCTGGTTCTGTCAAGTTTTTCTTTCAATTTTTTGTTGGACATGCCGATCATTGAACGAATTGTATTCAAAGTATTTGAGTCTAGTTTATTTTCTAACCGCTTTTCCACTTCTATTCTGTGTGTAGTTACGTCTCTCAGTCTTCTACAGCATTCTTTGAGAGCGTGTCTGGTTAATTGCTTTGAAAATTCTTTGTGTAGATTATGCCATTTTTCTTTGTTCTGCACTGGAACTGGACACGACTTTAAGGAAAGTGTAAGACCCTTTGGAAATGTTTTTGTCGATACAAACTGTTCTAGGCTTAGTTTATGGTGTTGTAATCTGATCTCATTAGAGGCAATTTTCTTCAGATTATTAAAGTCCCTTCTGTGATGTATGTAAATGCAGTTCTTGTTGTAGTTGATGAGTCCGGAGTAGGTAGGATCCATTTTCGGATACAGAAGTCTCGCAACAATGATAACTTGCGCTTATTATTTGGTTTCTGCGAGACTAACTACTTATCCTTCTTCTATGCTTTTGTGCCGGTGGATCCGTATGCATATATTGCAAGGATGCTGTAGCAAGAGCAGAGATAACAATCCTAAGTAATTCAAGAGTCTTGCTGCACACTAACACAAATATATTTCTGTAACGTTTCGTCTGACCAAGGTCAGACTTCTTCAGACATACATAATTTAACTACAACACGAAAAGCAGTTACATGCATATTTAAACAATCATAGTAGAATTATAGGAGTCACGCATGTTAAATAATCAATAAAATCTGTGAATTTCTTGATTAAATAACAGCGGGTGGCCGAAATAAGTGTCATTAAATTCAATGTTGTATATATTTTCAGAGCACGATAGATATTTTGAATTCTCCCTTTATAAAAGTTGAACGATTTTATAAGACAACTCATTTTATACATATTGTAACCGTTTGAAAAGTATTTCGTCGCAATACTATCTGTTTGTCCTTATTTATGTGTATAGTTTACTTTGTATCTATTTGCTGTTCTATTTTTTTATGAAAAAAAAAAAACGTTAAAACAATGTTCATAAAGTAAAAAAATATTAATTACCTTCTGTATCATACCAAACAAGGCACGCTAACAGACGAAATGAAGAAAAAAGTTTACTACATGTTGTTGGCAACGTACGATGAAAACGAAAGTCCATATCTACAACAAAGCATTGATGCTTTCGCCGGAGATCCGTCATCGGTTGATAAAGATGATGAAGATTTCAAGGAATCGAATAGAATGCAATGTGAGTTGAAAAACATTTACTTACAGGGCATGATGAGAATAACAATAGCTAAATAAATCGTGTATAATAAGACACCAACGGTGGCTTATTAAAGATCTGTGTTCGTCACTTAAGAATAAGATAGCGACGCTCAAATAGATGCACATATCAAGTCAAAATGAAGTAGTACGGGTATGCAATTTGTCACAGTAGACTACCGTCACAAAGTGCGTAATTTTAATGACGTCATTGCAAACGCGACCCGATGGCGCCCACAGTTTATTTTGAAATAAATAAAAATAAAAGCCTTCTAGCAAAAAATAAAAATTTTAACCACGGGAAATTTGAACGCAATTGTTCCTGTAATTAAAGAGAATTTTATTTCTTAACAAGACAAATACTAATAAGGAAATGAACATGACCAAGAACAACAACATAATAACAAACCGATTTATATGTACATTTCGTGTCCAATGAACGAAACTATTTGTCATAGAACCACAACTTAACGACATAAAAGGACGTGAAAGGAACCATGTCAAAAAACCTCTAAAATTGGAAGTTTTTTCTTATTCTCTCAATGTATTTTATCAGCAATAAATGGTTTGGCGTTCGCAAATCTACTTGACGTGCAGTTGTGTGCTGAACAATATACCGATATTCGTATACTATCTCTGGGTTCTGAACTGAATAGTCATGCCTTCATATTTGACGGAACTGCAAGAAAAACTAGGTGATTTCAAATTTTGTTATAACTTGAGACTAAACATATGGAAAAAAATATTTATTTTTGATATTTGCTGTTAAATCTATAAACAAAAACATTGACCGATATGACGTGGTTAAAAATCTGACATTTGTGAATACACATAACGTGTGTTTTAATATATAAATGGCGTTTTTTTTTCTTATTGTCAAAGTGTTCATTAGGCAAAGAATGAAAACCTTTTTGATTAATTTCCTATGCAGTTTTTAAATTTTGGTTAAAAATAATTTAAAAACATTAGAATAGTAGAATGATTTTTTAGTTTGTTTGTTCCATGTTTCAATGTTGAATTTCTTGTTGCTTGTTTTTAAGAACCGAGTACACTGGCATGACTGGAGTTTTCCCCCATGTTATCAGCACGACGAGTGTATATCCATTCGGGCCCGGTGTATCGTTGTATGGATGTCACGTATCAAACCATGGAACCAATGGGATGGTTTCTTTTTATGAGGTAAATGAGTGTAATATGTTCGTGTAATCTTGCAACAACTTTGGATTTGAATATGGAAGAGAGTTCAACTCAATAGTACAATTATGTAAGTGCCCACTACTAGCATTGTGTTACAGAGGTCGATCAAATATCACCGTTCAGAGTGGTTCCAAACTCTGTCATAGTACATCTGATACAATAATTCTCAAACAATAACTCCGTGTAATGTTCAGGCTTTGATCCAATGCTACGGCTATAAGCTCTCAGAACAAAACCATTAATAAATATTTCTATTTCCATCAAGTCAAAATACTGCAGTGATCCGAAGCCAAAATTTCAGCCTTCTGTAAAACGAACTATTTATCTCGGCATTGTTGAAGAAGTTTGGGATTATCTTCCTCGTAGATTTGATCATAAAGGAAATTCTGTTGATGATCCAGAACATCTCGCTTATTTATATGCTCACCAGGAAAATGGAAAATACATAGGTTTAGTTTAAATTTTTGACTATAATTTGACTTTTTTAAAGTTGACTATATTGTGTTTTTGTGCAATAACGATGGACTATTTGGGACACTTTGGAATGCCTATTAAAAACATTTCTAACCGTTTGGACTTGTCTTTGGTATTTATTTTACTTCAAAAATATCTAATTTTCTCATTAGTAACAAAAATTCATGTAAAATAATAATATTTCTAGGTTCAAGGTATAAAAAAGCAATATTTTATGAATATACCGATGATTCCTTCACTGTTCGAAAATTAAAGCCAAAGCATCTTGGATTCGACGGACCCATTTTAAAAATGGAAATTGGTGATGAAGTAAAGGTGCAGCCTTTCATAACATTTTATATCACATTTGCCTATTTTTTATATATAGTTTAATAAATCGACAGCTTTTTATCGAAAAAAAATAACACGGTGTGTTGTTCAAAGGTCATTTTCAAAAATATGGCAACGATTAAGTTCAATGTGCTACCAATGGGCGTGTATACCGTCGGGATTATGCAAGGTCCTGTACCACCCGCAAAACCAGGAGAAACCGTGACCTACACTTGGCAGGTATCAATTTATAGTAAAGGTATAAAATCTGCAACAAGCTCATTATCGTGCATAGTTTCTCAAAAGATTGCTTTCAAAATCTAATAAATGAAGATTAAGTGTGAATTTTTCGTTGAAATTTATAATACAATCGTAAATCAATCTTATTGTTTTACATAATTTTATAGTGTTAACCTAAATATATTGTAGTATATTGTAATGACTAATTAACATCCACAAATGTGCCTGAGATTCTTGACTACATTTGCCTGAAATTTACATTCATTTCATGCATTACATCGTTTTTAAAATACTCATTACAACACAGGTAAGACCGGAGTTGGCCCCTAATCCGGATCAACCCGATTGTTTCGCCAGTGCTTATTATTCCGTTGCTGATTTCAGAAGAGATGCCTACAGTGGAGCTAGAGGACCCATGGTCATATGTAGGCGAGGTAAGGATTCTACATTTATGTATAAATTTCACTTTTACAACGCATATATATATATATATATATATATACGCAAAGACACCGTTCAAATCGTATTGCAGGGACGTTAAACCAAAAGAAAGGAGGAATGGCAGATAAAGAGTTCTCTTTATTATTTTACATCACTGATGAAAATTTGAGTCATTATATTGATGAGAATATTCGTGAATTTGCAAAGGCTGATCCAAAAACATTTGATAAAAAAGATAAATCTTTTGTGGAAAGTAACAAAATGAATCGTAAGTATAAAATATTTTAATGTTCCTAATTAGTATACCCATTTTCCCCACATAACAGATGATCCCGTATCAGTGACTTACCAATTTAACAAAAACCATATGCATATATAGATATCAATGGATTTCTCTATCATGTTCCTGAATTGAATATGGAGAAAGGAGAACTTGTGAGATGGCATTTGTTTGCAGAGGGAGAAGAAGACATTCATACGGTTCATTTCCACGCTAACGCATTTGTACACCAGTGAGTTTACTTTTGTATTCGTTTCATGTTCTATTATAATCCGTATGCTTGTGTTAGTTTAATAAAATCTCATGTCTTTGAATAGCGGAAGCAAAACATTTTGGCCTACTTCTTCCTATCATTCAATGTGTCCTATGTTCATCATCTTTAGATCTAGCTCCGAAAACAAGGGAGATGTGTTTGATTTGTATACTGGACGGTATGCTACACTCTTAATGAGACCGGATGCTGTTGGTGAATGGCTTCTACATTGCCATGTTAACACTCACGTAGATATTGGAATGGTTACAACATACACTGTTCAAGACCAGACAGGTAACTAGCAAAACGATTTAGTTTTTTTGCTTAAAGAAACTAGTTAATCACAATGATTCATCATTATGTGAAAATACACAACTGCCAATTTGTAACCGTTATATAAACTTTTATGGGCTATGGTTTTTCAGTTTCTGTCTTGACAGAATAATTTTCAATTATATTCCAGCGCGCACAATTATTAATTGTAATTTGGACAGAGGAAAGGCAATGATGAAGTAAATACCGTGTTTGTTTTATGTCAGTTTCAATAAATGTTTGTTATATGTTGTATAATTATGCTCTTGAGGCGTCGTTTTGATGCTTTTTTTTTTAAATTAGTCCAAGGTGAAAATCCACAATAGATATTTTAATACGTGATCTCTCTTTGTGATCTCTCATATTTGTTTGTATTGCTGTGGCGTGTGGCTTACCACTAGATAGCTTACAGTCTTGGAAGCTATTAATTAAAATTCAAAGAGTACTAAATTTTGCTAAATTATGTGACTGTGAATTTCACATTTGTACAAGTACCAAACCTACAGAGAATTGGGTAATTTATACCTACGATATTCGTTCAATTCATTCGTTTCTCATTCATAGTTCCATTTAAGAACTGATAATCTGATATCAGGTACAAACATGAATAAAATTACTGTTATATGTTTGTTTTCATTTCTGGGATAACTGCAGATTATTCGCCAAAAGAAGAATTCGTGCATTCGGAATTCTTTGCACGATTTGACAAAAAGGTTTGTCAGGTTTTATATCATTTATTTGTTATTAATTTTAATTTATGGTTCTAAATTATTTTTATATTATATTACAGATAACCCTGAGTGAGGCAAAAAAGTTTGAATTTCCAAAACAAGAGGCATTTGTGTTCAACAAATACCCGAAATGTGCTCGAATAAGGTATATTATGAGAATATTGAAATTACGAATCAACCCAAAAGTTGATTTATTTGAATGTTCATGACGCAACCTGAAAGCATTTGTTGATGCTATTGCAAATTGACTTACTTTATACATGCTCAAACTTTTAGAAATCATTTGTCATATATGATTTTTGTATATTTATGCTACCGCGGCTTATACATTTAGCGAATTGTTGTCTCTCGAAAAGCTACGTTGGCCTAATTGAGGAACAATGCTTTTAGTACTTATTTTTTTAATGTTTGTTTTTGAGATTCCGGTTTGCTTTTCATTATTTAGATACACTACCGGCCCAGACAAAATTTGTTCGGCACATGGTAATAGAAAACACACAACTTGTGCAGATCAGAAATGCACTCACATATCTTACTACGGTTCAACGAAATGTAATCCGCAGGTCAAATTGTTCAAATCATTCGAACACTACGGTGTTGAGTGCAAGTAAGTCCAAGTTGTATAGAAAAGTGGTGAAACGATTGTTTTTTTTCTACTGTGGGCTATTGAAAATTGGCTTTTTTTACAGGAAGCCAAAAAAAGCGTGCGGAGATGACAAAAGTAACAATAAAAGATATAATGCCTTTTATCCAGACCCACGTAGATCACAAGATTCAGATGATGACACTTGCGAATGTCAGACTATCTGGTGCTTTGGTGAAATTATGACAATTTACGAACAAGAAGGAAAACTGTTGAAAGGAAACGTCACAATAAAGGTTTGTGCTTTTTCTGATAACTTTTTAAAAGTCTCGCAATATATTACAATATATTCAGTATTTAATTTATCCACATCCGAAAATGATTTCAAGTTTATTCATGGTTATTCTTCATTATTGTGTGGAAACTAAAATCCACCACAACTTGCCGAAAGGTTGTGTGACATTGTTTAAAACTATTATAATAATAATAATAAATAAATAAAAAATTCTTGTAATTAACAAATTGATTGGTTTCATATCACTTTTTGTTATACAGACCCCATGCAAATGTGAATGCAGAAGGAGGTTCACAATGATCGGACCATACCATTGAGGAAAATATGTTTTCTACATTCCGATTTTTGCTCTCTATCACACAAATCTGTATTCCAATGCACTGAACATTATCAATATATGTGTCTGAGAAAAAAAAATTTTTGATCAGCATTTGTAATCTGTATTGTAAGGGATTTAGTAAAAGAAGCGTTAAATAATTTTGACAATTTGCCCAAATGGAGACGAATTGGATTAATTTCTAATTGTCCATATCTTCGGTATCTTGAATTCTTTTCTTTCATTGGGATGAACATATATATATATTACGGTACTTAACCGGACCTGCCATAATGCAGTACTTAAGTTTCAAGTGGACTTCGTTCATGTGTCCGTATCATTGTTTTTAAATACGGGCACGGAGAGCACGGGCGCCATTGACAACTACCAAAAAAAAGAGTCAACAGAATCCTCTCGATAACAGACATAAAATTGTTGTCCGGTTAATTTGTCCACTTAATTCAGACCGCCAAGTGTTTTAGGCTATTTCGCCACTGAGCCTCCTATCTGTCGCCTTGAATGTCTATATAAATGATGTTGCTTTTGAAAATAACTTTTCAGTGCATTAACAAACACCCATTCATTTGCGGAAATGGTTATTAATAGCCAAATATTTATTTGACATCTATAAATGTAAACGGGTTTCCATGTTAGTACTACACATTTTTAAAGTGTATGACTCCGCTTCAATTTCCAATAGATTCGAACACTTTAGCAATATTTATCACAGAGAAGAGCGTTTTTTTTCAATATTCCGTCTTTCGTACAAGGGAGATGCACTGTGTTCGGTGTTGAAATTTTGAGACTTGATGGTTACTTTCTTTTTGATACTTTCTTTCTGATTCGAATGCTCGAATATTTTGTCCAGCAACCGAGATTCGATTAAATTTTATGTGATTAAACTTTTTTTTATGTTTTATGTAAATTCTAACGTAAATCGTAACTTGTCTAATACTTGTAAGTTTGGTAAAAACGTTTGCGCCCCGCGATGAATTTCTAAATGTGAAATGACCGGACCCGCGCCACTAAAAAGGTCAGTGACTTACATGTACTATACCACTGCATAACGTTTCTAAATCGGAATTGACCGTTGAGGACTGATCAAAATGCTCCGCGGAAAAAACCTCCGAGTGGATAAGACCGGTACACATGGCAACACATTTAGCGCAGTTGGTCACAAAGATCACGACACGGGCCGATGCGTCGACCATCTGGCTCAGAGAAGATATGACGATTGAGAAAGTCGATTGTTAGGGCCTGAGCCACAAACTTTCCCAGTCGAGTAAGAGCAAACGAATGGTCCATGTGATCGAGAAAGTTCAAGGTTTTGAACGCCTAGGTAACCCAAAATATGTCCGGTTCACGGGCAACATTTGGGGCGACCAGGCCCCCGGCTGCAGTTGTGGAGTGCAAAAACGGCTGACAGATCCGGTCTGGAAACGGTTCTTTTCAAACGACGGATGCCGTATGCTCGAGATCGCGCAGGCGAAAATACAGAATTCGTAGTTGAAAAAGCCTTGCCTTAGAATAAATAATAAGTAGAATAAGGTAGAATAGGGTAGAATAAATCTCTTCGGCGCCAATAGTTTTGGGACGGAATTATCTCACAAGCAAAGAGCCCCCGAAAACTCACTCTGTCCGACGATCCGATACCCCATGCTCTTGCTGAGATATCTTCAGAAGTCATCACCCTTGAGAACAGCAACCTCGACACCATTGAGATAGAAACTAGACGGAAATTGAATTATAATTCTCGCAACGAGAGCAAGAAAGATTTAATATTCCGGAATGTCGATGCACAACGCTCCAGTTTTTTAGTACTAGGGTTGGGGATACAAATTCGAGTCTACAAGAATTGGAGCGGCAAAAATATTCTCCCATGAATCGCTCACCCACGAGAACAGCGGCATACAAGGAAGGATTGGAGGTTAAACTACTTGCCTTGCCTGATCGGGATAATGGTAAAATAATATAAAAAAACAAGAATAGAAAAATATAAATAGGTAACTGATCTAAATTGCCTAAATTTACCTAAATACAATTGCTAAACAAACAGTAAATCAGTCGAGAGCTAATAATGCGTACACAGTTTGAATTGAGTTTTCCTTGATCGAGCATCGATTGCCGAAAACCTTGCTAAAGCGGTGTAATTGGCGATTTTTAGAATTATATCACATTTCAGCACCATCAGGTGCAGAATTTGACCTCCGAAATCCTTCGATGTTTGCCCAAGGCAATGATAAGTTGCACAATGCTGCCGGGGCGAGAGACTGGAAATTCCTACGATAATTTTCCGCTTCCGATTCTCACAAGTTCCACACTGCAAAGTCGTGAATTTGCTGTCGTCATCGACTATTATTGATATTCCAAAGCTGACGGCAGAACCCAAGAAGACTTGTTCCTGCCATGGGGAATTGTAAGCCGGACACGGCTTTTTAGACGTTGGCATCCAGCATCCAGCTGTTTTCCAAAGGAAGCCGTCAGCAGTGCCCCAATTACGGTCCACGTAACGATTTAGAATGACCCGACGAAATTGAGAAATAGTTTAACACTTTATGTTCTTATCTTTTGAGTTTTAGATACCGTCTATCGTTACATCATTGTCACAGTTTAATCACGTTTATTTCGTAACAATTGAATTATACCGGTATCTTATGTATACGTATCCGTATTAGGATTACACACTGCAGTACTGTATTTTAGATATCAGCCGTATATTAAAAAGGCTTAAAGATGTCACAAAAACGAAAACTAGGCACTGAAAACAGACGTCTTTTAGATGAATGGCAGCGTTTTTATTTTTTTATTGAAAAGAATCAGACGTCAGCAATTGTCTTCATTGCCAACAAAATATTTCAGTTTTAAAGGAATACAACATTATGCGCCATGATGATCAGTTGACGCGCGTATTTCAAAATTTAATTTATTGCTTAATTCATACAAAAGTCAAACATACATTCCCAAAAAAAAAATGTGAAATGAAGTGGATCTATGTTATGGGCCAGTTATAATGTAGCCCGCAACATTGCTAAAAAGAATCTCCCGTTTGTTGAGGGGTAATTTTCGCGTGAATATATGCTGCAAGTTTTGGAAGTCATTTCTCCTGATATAAAAGTTAATTTTCCAGCATCAGTCTTTCTAACAACAAAATTATGAACCTTAACAAATCAAAACTTTGGTCGAGACTGACAGTCAATTACTTGACTGCGTTATTCGGAATACAATGTAATAAATTAGAGCCACGTTTTGAATTAAAACTAAATTATGGCATTTCGTTTTTATATATATATATATACACATTGGGATGTTTTTTGTGTAACAAAACAAGCCATAAGTAGTCATTCATACAATGCCAGTTGGGCAAGTAACCTTATTAGTCACTATCAGTTGCAAATTACTTGTAGAAAGCCGTGCTCGTTATTTATTTTTCGGGAATTCTATCAGCTAACAATTATAATTATGAATTTTATTACTTTACTACTTACATTAATTTTATAACAAACTGCGATGCTATGTGTATCTAAAATCAAGCTTAGAGCCTAGTTTGGAGCCCAGTTCTCAAAATTTTATCAGCGGTGAACCCCAGCCGTGTATTCGCCGTAAACTATTTAACACCCCCTAAATTTCGTACACCCCCCCCCCCCCCCCTAAATTGAAAAGCTGGGGAACATATTGGCCGTCAGAAATTATGAGCTTTTAAACTCAACGACTTGATTGGTGGATCCCAAGTTCCACGACGGTCGAAGGAAGTCTCGGCGACGGAAAAGCGCATGGTATTTTCGCTCGACGACGATAATCGATCACGCTTTGGTACCTCATCTCCATGTCTCTTTCATCTCCGATATTCAAACATCTGATGCATTGTAGAAGACCATCTTATTCTGCAAAAATCCACAACAATTCGGGCCCTCAATCAATC